AATACATGCATAAAATGATTTTAAATATTGATATGATGTCATTGTGTGTCTGAAGACATTGAAATGTTCATTTTCAGAGCCAGACAGGTTGCGCTTAATTTATTATGGGGAGGGGAACGAATATTTACATTTTTTAATCTAGCAATAAAACAATTATGGGATTTAGGGAGAAAGAAAATATTCATGCTTCTTGGGGAGCAAAAATGCATGTTGTGATGTAAATGACTTAGAGGAGCTTATACCAGCAGATATTAAGAAATCTTGTTTCCCTTTTTCCTTCCTGATAATTCAATACATTCATAAAGTATGTAAAGTAAAAGGACCCTTTGACCAATGTTAATTACATTTAACCTGTTATATATATAGTAGAAGGAACAGCTTAAATATATCATCAAGGATGACTAATTTACCGATATATTCTGAATGTGTCTATTATAACGTTTCCATGACATTGCCTGGTTTTCAGAACAATTCTTAGCATGAAGAAAAGGAGACATGGTGTTATAATGGTACGTTCAGTTCTGTTGTGATATGAAAGTTTTTACTGAAAATGCCTAAGGGCAGCTGTCTGCCTCGTGTGTTCAGTATTATGGATGTATAACACACAGGGGTGGAAGTGTATTAAAGGCAGAGCCATTGCAGTCTGTTGGAGGTTGTTGGTGCTAAGGTCCAACCCTGATGATCCCCAGACCAAGCTAAAAAGAAACTTAAATCCTTTGCAAAAAATTGCCTAGGATACTTCTTTCTCTGGTTCTTTTGTTCCTGGCTGACACACACCCCTACCTGCAAAGAAAAAACACTTAAGATTGCTTTTCAGTTCTACTGCAAATTGGAGCAGCCTCTTTATACATGGATGTGTTTTGGGAGTGATTTGCTGTTTCTACAAAGCATAAGTTTGGCATTGTCTGCACTTATGATATGTGCTAGCAAGCAGAAATGAAAACTTTCACATCTCTCTGGTCCCATGCGCACCTTTCAACCAGTAGTTTAAGCCAATTTCGAATAGTTAAGCATATGCCTAACTCAAAGCATCTCACTGAGGCTTCCTCTGCATGAAGATATGTAACTTTGTGCTGAATCATGACCTGTATGATTACAGACACAGCTTAACATCAAACAGGTTCTTTAAAGGTGTCACACACTGCACTGTATTGCTCCACTTAACATATCGCAGACACTAGAAATACAACCTATGATACGGGCAGAGCCCTTGCTCTATCCAGCCTTGAGGTAAGCTCCAGAACGGGTAAAATACTTTCAGGAATACAATGGTAAAATGGCCAGAGAAGCCGTCTTCCACTGGACACCCTTCCTCTTCCTGCAACATATATATCAAAAATGACTGGATAGGAAAATGAGGCAGAGGGAGACAAAACTTGAACAATATGCCTGGGCACAGTCATCCAATATGAAAAAGAGATGATAGAAAAGTTAGTGCAAAGGGCAGCAGAGCCGAGAAAACGAATGTGAGGAATTCATATCTTTTTTTAGTGAGCAAGACAGATAATTGAGGAGGACTGGTCAGAGATGTGTAAGGTCATATACTGCCCAGCAGAAGCATGCACGCATTGATTACTCCTCTTCCCACAGTATCAGAAGGAAGGGGCACCCAATGAAATGAGCAAGCACCACATTTACAACAGAAGCCAGTTTTTGCACTGATCACATAATTGGGTAAATTTTCTGCTGCAAGATGATTATAAGAGAGAAAAATACTAACAGATTTGAAAGATTAGACAAATTTATAAAGGATAGCTTCTTACATCTGGATATAACCTCTGATTCAGGAAATTGCTAAACCATCGATTGTCAGGAAAAAAAAAATCACTTCATATGTCTCCTGTTTCCTCTGTTTTTCCCCTAACCATCCATTCCTGTTAATGCCAAATAGTAAACAGTACTAGAAACTCTTATGAACAAGGTACATACAACCTGTGGATGTGTACTAGTTTATCTCTACTGGCTAGCCACCAGAAAGCAAACTGATTTTTGTCATTCTTGACCCATTTTATCCAAACAGAACCAACTGTCAATAGGAAATGAGTTACGGATTAAGAACACTGCAAACAGGGAAGCCTCTACAGGCCCACTCTTGGTGCATGTGTGTATGAACCTCCACATGCACATTCAAAACTTAGCCTGATGCCCAGCTCTTGGTCATGCATCCTCAACTTTCCTGAACCACCATGTTTCACACCATGTCTCAGCAACTATTTGTTGGGTTTTACATGACATGTGTTATAGCTATTTAAAACTAATTTCAATTAAGGAATGGATCAGATCTCATGATGATTCCAGCTACCCTCTTTTCTGAAGTGATTGCCCTGGAAGGAGAGTGTTTGGATCTCAATTTGGTAATCAAATAGCCAAACTATGTGATTAGACTACATCAAATTAGTGACCATTCACCAGCTGACACCCCCAACTAATGCCTCCTGCCACTAATTGACTTTATTTCCACTTCCTTTAATGAGAGCTACCTGTTTTCAAGATCTTAACTGGATTTACATGCCTTTCAGATTGGTCCTTTTGATAAACATCCTGCCTCTCTCCTTCTCTTCACTTATCCCTACCAGTATCAGCCCTCTCACCTTCCAACCCTTTTTTCTCTTTTTTCTTTCATACACTTCTATTTTTAAGCTGCAGACCTCAAATAAATAAGCAGTATAAGTTTGGACAATATACAGTGACACATTGTGAAAATTCAGTGTAAGAAGGTGGATGCGCGCTGCCTTTGAGCAGAAAGCTGTCCCCAGAACAAAGAAACCTGGACTGGCTGAATGGTCTTAGCGTAAGGTCAGGATCCTTTGACTGCAGGGATCTTCCTAAACTTTACCTGCTCAGGCCTGAGGGGTGGAGCATGGCCAGCAACAGAAAATCACGCCTGAGCCCTGCACGCCCTAAATTCAGCCTCATTTAATGTGGCCAGTCAAAAATACCACCTCTCGTATGCCTGCCCCTTGCACTGCCTATATGCATGGGGTGGTGTAAGGCAATCCAGAGAAGGCAACCTCAGAGGGCACAGAGCACTCTTGCCCCATGGGGTGCTGGCCACACTTTTGTCTGTAGGAACATATAATAACACAATAATACCATGCCCAGCTACCATGGTATATACTCTGGGTTATACAGCACAAACGAGAGCAACCCTCTGGCATCTAAATGGTGAGAGCAGAGCTGAGAGTGCTACACTTCTCTCCAAGTTGTGCTAAGTACAGAATAGCCTTTGTCCTCTGCTTGTAAGTGACAGATCAGCCACATACACAGTCTGGATCAGGCTGCCCGCAGATTTGGCTTAGGACTATATAGGTTAATGAATATCACTTATCATTCATAGAAAGTTTGACTACACAATACACATTGCCAAGAAAAACAACTGTACGTTAGTATCATTCACTGCTAATATGGGACACAAAGGAATTTTCAAAGACCTTCATCCATGAAGGATGGAAAAAGTATGAGCATGGTAAGAAATTTAAAAAAAAAACAAAACCCACCTTTAGTTTGTTCCTAAATATCAACATTATTTTAAAATATTATAACACTCGTAGATTAGAAAAGTGATCTTAGCTGTGTAAAATTGCATTCATGAAACAGAAAGTAGCATTATTTTAATGCTCTTAAAATTGAAGTAATAAACTTTAATTCATTTTTTCAGCTGAAGAAAACCCTTCTCTGAATATAATTATCAATTGTAATTCAAAGTGAAAATATGTTTCAATTCATGTTTAACTTTTTGACACTTTTGTATTGTTACATATACAATTTCAAAATCATTTGATGTATTTTGTTTCGTTTTTTACAAGACAACTGAAAAGCTTTCTACAGTATGGGCCAAAGCAAAATTCTCATTCCTAAAGGATTGTGTTCACTCAGCTTATCTTTTTTATGTGTGTAAAAATAGCCTCTTTATTTGTTTTCTGCTAATCGGCAATCATCATTAGAAATAATTGACAATAGGATTTGTCTGGAGAGCTGTAAAATTTTTAGAATACGTTTGCAAGGCTGATTTAAAAATCACATAGTATAATACATATTACAACATATTGTCTCAGCCACCTTAGAAGAAATCATTGATACAACTGAGTAAGCCAGCACTGGCCTTGATGGAATAGCATTGGCACAAAAGAAATAGTGCAGTAATGCATTCCCAAGAATTGAGAGCTAATAGAGAGAAACATAAAGGATATTACCCAGGATGTAATACTCTAATTCTCATACATACCACTTCATTTTACATCAGGATGCAGAAGAGAACCTTTGGGAGAAAAAGGGGAGGATGAGGTACAAGGGTTTGTTCGTGAATAGAGGAATCTGATTCACCTATAAAACCTTTCTCGCCCAAGCGCAAGGCACACGTGTTCAGTGACACTAGGTGTGAATTTTAAGGAACTCTCTCAAGCTAACCATTTTTCCAGCATTCCAGATCTGCCCTTCAGTTTTGTTCCTCCTCTACAACTACCTTCTCATCTTGAGCAGGAAAGTCCCATACTGGTAAACGTCTGAGGGCAGTAACCCTAGAGACTGATCTGAATTGTTTCATACAACTGTTGTTCACTCCTGAGAAATTTGGCTAGATCTGGATAATTTAGCAAAAGTATGTTTGGGGAGTTTTTAGTCACATTTGTTACACTTCTGTTGCTCTTGTGCCACAGCCCCACCATGCTATAACTTCACAGGAGCGTGACAGTCCCTATCCCAGAGCTTGCAGCAAGTGCTTCTGGCCAAGAAATGCAACTGAAAGAGGGAAAGGCAGGTTTCTTGGTCTCTGTAAATTCCTACATTTTGCTTAGTGTTTTGCCTCCCAACATCCGTCCTGTAAAAAACTTCAGATTTCTGAATCAACAACTCCAGAATCTTAATTTAAGATTGCCAGTCATTTACCACCCTTTCACAGCAACAGTTTCTTTGTGTGGGTGTGGGTGTGAGTGTGGGTGTGAGTGTGGGTGTGGGTGTGGGTGTGAGTGCTCATATGCCCCACACTTGCCATAATCTGAATCTCTTTACATTGTAGGACAGAGGTCTGCATCTCTGTTGTCCTGCATCTTCAGGCAGGCATTTACATCACCGGGATGCACATGCTAACGGTTACTATTGTTATCAGGCACTGCCCATGCTGCACTCACCTAAATGGCTACATAAGATGCACGGCAAAGGACAATCAGCCTCCAGGTTTCTGGGCAAAGTACATGCCTCTCGATTCTGTCATTGATTTGTCAGGAGCTGTATACTCAAGTAGATGGTTCAGAAGAGGATCCTTTAGGAAGAGTGTGGTCAGATTGACCTCACTTTCACTGAGCTGACAGCCTGGTGAAGAAAGTTAAACTGAATATCAAAATCATCAGCAAAAAATTCCTCTTTCTTTGATTGTACAGTTTAAGAGGAGCCATTCGAGCTCAATTTATTCTCTACACAGGAACTTCATTGATTATCTCAGACATTCATGCAGGAAGGAAGATGAGATAAGAAGAAAGTTCTATTTTTTTTTTTTTAAGTGATTGCAAGATGGAGAAAACTGCTTTGTGAGTGTAATATATACCATAAAGTTCCCTTTGTGCAATCTTCTACTGAAAAGTGAGAAGAGTTTACCTTTCCTGAACAAAAGAAACATTAGAGATGGGCTGATGATTACTGAGGGCAGAGATATATGAATACTAGGATTAAGGTATATATTCAGATATAAGATTAGCATACAGAAAAAATAAGTTTTCTTGAGTAAAATATTGTGAAGGTTCTCCCATTGTCTTGTACAGTCAATCACCAGCACTGAGAAGAGACACTGATCACTATTCATTTTTTTCCAAATGGTATTCTGGTTTGATCTCAGGCTATTAACTATAATGGGGATTTCCACTGAATTTAAGAGGGAATCAATCCTGATTCAAGACTGCTGCCATGAATGGAGATAGATGTTCAGTTGTGTTCTACCAAAGACAAACGGACACTCCACCAGTCTTGCTGTGGTGGAAAATGTGGGACTGCAAGCCCAAACTCTAGAAGCACACAGAGGCACCGCATCACTGCTCCAAACACTTGTAGGTTACTGGAAAGGGTGAGGAAGCAATAAGTGTTTTATCTGAACTTTGGTGGTTGTAATAGGAATTGAATGGATTATGTATAAACATATGATGGCAGAGTCTCTGCTCTCAAGTCAGTTGCTCAAATGCCATTATCCCCTTCACTGAAAACATTGTACCTCCTAAGGAACCAGGCAAGCACTTTCACATGAGGGTAGTTCTTGTGCATTGATGCAGAAACTTCAAGTTTATAAATTTCTCAGGTTCATTTACATAGCACCAAGAAATCTTCAAAGGCAACCTCTTATGCAGGCAATATTTTATAGGCACATGCTTTGAAACAGTTGTTTCAATTGAGGACAACTAGTCATCATATGGGAAGAAACTGGAGGGGACAGCAAGGCTCAGTCAGAATGCTTTTGTGCTTTTTTGATCTTGGGATTGCTCTGTATCAGTCCAGTCCTCTGGCAGAAGCCAAAGTGACATGTGAATATATCAGTTGTGAGTGGCACTAAAAAGATGTTATGATTTGTGCTTTTATTCTTGACACTCTGCTGACAGCAGTTGAGTACTGGAATGGGAGCCCCTAGAATAACTGCACCAGCAAAACAGCTATACAACAGCCCTTCTACCTCAGCCCTAGCTGAGCAGCCTTTAAATCTCCTTTACAAAACTCGTGGAAAGAGAGATTAATCTCACCCATATCTTAAAACAAAGAGCATCTCTACTGTCCCAGCTAGACAAATATGAACTAAACCAGCAAAAACATTCTTACTTCACAGGCTGCTTCAGCAGGGTCACAGCAGAGCTGGCTGTAGGTGGTTCAAGAATTAAGAGCTGCAAAAGCAACTGGAAACGTGCCTCAGGGAGGAGCAAAGCAGATCAGTATGTGTACCATCTCTTCTATATCTGCTTATACTGGTATTAGATTTTGGTGTAAGCATAGGTTATACAGCATTTAAGTGAGGGACTCTTGAATTCCAATATCCTCTCTTACATTAACCCCTTTGTCCTTGGGCAAATCTCCTAACTTTTTTGACTCCTATCATTTATCTTCACAAATGCGAATAAAACTATACAGCCTATGTCATATTAGTGCTGAATGTTGGTATACTACTACTGATTTTAACCACAGATTTATACAGAAGTAGCATTTACCAGAAAGAGGTTGTAGAGAAGCTGTATCATGACACACCTTTTAAAAGCTCAGTACAAGGTAGAATATTCACATTTTGCATTTCTCTGGCACATGCATGCAGGGTGGGATGTTTTCTAATATTTATTGTCTCCCAAGCACTCTGAAGCTGACAAATCAAGCATTATTAAATAGACACTTAAAAAAAATTACTCAACTGCTAAACCAATCACTGTAGGTTGTAGCTCAAAATGAAGCTGGAAATCTGCACCTTTTAATAAAACAATCTGCTTGAGAGCTGATGATATTTGGTTATGGAATTTATCTGTAAATATAATTAAAAATTCAATGAGAGAGTGCTCTGAACTGAGGGGTAAATATTCAGCACGATGCAGAGTGCTCAAGCTACATGATTCCCATTATCGTTAATGGGAGTCCTACAGCTAAATCCCTAAGCATCACACTAAAAATTTACCCCCTAGTGTTTGCAGATGGAACAAAAGGATTATTGTACATACCAGCAGAAAATAAAGTTACCACTGACATTTTGACCAGAAAGCTTCCATCAGGATTGATCAGAGAAAGATTTAGACTACTAATTTCCCCGCAGACTGTTTCTTTGGGGTTTCTCCCATCTGAAAAAAACGTTCTTGATTTTTATTTAATTCCTTTCTATTTACTGGTTTTCACATCATTATAGCTCTCAAATTCCTCTCCTTCTGGCTTCCTACCAGAGCACTTCTCTCTGCTTCACACCAGGCTTCCTGGCTTCAGTGTGCACAATTTCAGGTTCCTGAACCTCACACATAATGGAAGTAAGGACAGAAGAAAAGTACATATGCCAATGACCTTTCAGCTGAGTTGGCCAAGTGTGCAAATTTACCCAGCAATAAAATGCTGCAGGGAACTTTGGGGTGATTAAAAAGTTGAGGGGGAGGGGAACACACACAAGCAACTTCATTCTTTCCTGGTTTACACCTTCTGCTCTTCTTGGGTCAGGGCTACCAGCTGTCAAGTGTCCCTACCCCTCTTGAAATCAATGACAACTCAGGAGTTGAAGCCTGATGGTGCGAGAAGATTTAACAAGCATCCTCGATTAGGTATGGGCTGGAGCTAAACAATGCAATCCATTAACTTTTCTAGGTGCTTTTTTATAACACTTTCCTAGATAATGGAAACAATGTTTCTGACTCATTTTTTTAAAATGTATATATATATATATATATATATATATATATATATACACACACACACATACCAAAATGACAGAAAACCTCTAAAAGTCAAATTTCCTTTCTCGATTTCACTTATTCTAACTCAAAAATAGCCAAAGGCATTTATTTATCCTTTGTAGACCTTGCTGCAGTCCTGAGTGAATTTTTATGGGTGAGTTTTAAAGACCTCAACAATAGGGGCTTATAATGGAAACACTGATAGACTGTTACTATAGTGCCGGTCATAAATACAATGCAATTTTATTTTATACAACATTCTTCATACAAAATATCACAAAATGGTTTACAGTAAGCATCAACTTCAAGCTAAAGCAAAGTGAAAAATAATTTAAATGTGAAATTTCAATGACTTCAGCAAGGGGGAAAGAATTCCTTACAGGATAATACAAATAAAAGTGCAAGATTTCTCCAGCCAGGCTTTTCTGCAGAAAGCTCTTAGAAGGCTGAGAATGCATGCATAAAAAGTACCCTTCTCTCAAAAATTCAAGATTTCAGCTCCTTGTTCCTCTCTTTAACTTTGTATACTCATGAGGCTCCATTACACACCTCAGCAAAGACATTTGTTAAATATTCTGGCAGGATCAGGCCTAAACCCCTGAAATGTCGTCAATTTCAAAAGGGCTAAGGGCACCTGACAGCTTGTAGCCTCGTAGCCCTGACCCAAGAAGAGCAGAAGGTGCATATCAGTAAAGAATGAAGTTGCTTGCCTGAGTTCCCCTCCCCCTCAACTTTTTAATCACCCCCAAAGTCCCCTGCAGCATTTTATTGCTGGGTAAATAATATAATGAAAAAGTGCCTACATAACACAAGCCACATGGGCACAGACAGCTATTAAAACTGAAATGATTTATTTCATAACAATCCGAGGTAGCACACTTTAACTCTAGGTATAGCAACCCCTCCATTTCTGCTTGCCTCATTTGCATAGGTAATTGACAGCTTGTTAACAGCTCATTAGGAACACTGAAAACCATGTGACAGATACAAACCTAGTGCTAGAGGGGAGAAAATCTGTGAATTACAGTATATTGAAAACTCAATCAGATTCAGAATTACAGGTCACAAAATAAGTCGGTTATTTCATTAGGTTAAAAAAATTAAAAGGTTAAAATACCGTTTTTCGACCTGTATTTTTAAGATAGCAGGCTACAAGGTAATTAATTAAGAATCTGATTGTGATGTGAGCTATTCTTTGCTGCCATGGGTAGCTTTAGGAATGATACTAGATTGATACAGAAGGACAAGTAATCATTGCTGAGAATTTTTAAAAACATTAAAAAGACTTGATGTGGTATTCAATTTTGGGCTTGGAATATAACTTTCTGAAAAAAAGTAAGTAACTTACAGTCACGGCTATCTAATATTCTGTAACTGAGAAAAATGCGAGGAATAATTTTATTTTAGTCTATAAAAAGCAGATAAGTGTTCTGATTTGCACACTCCTACTATCAGTAAATTTTGATGATGCTTTTTTTTAAAGGACATTTGAATATAAACAGTGCAAATAACAGTTATATCAGCAAATCTACTTTTTGTATTAAACGCAAACTATAATCTTGTTTTTCTAGCACTGCTAGCAGAAATACAGGAACTTGTAGAATTAAAATTATTTTCTTGTTTAAAATCTCCCTTTCCTTGAAACATGATATGGATTCTCTGTAATTCATGTAACATTTGCTGTTGAGGACAGAGCTGGCCAACTGCATCTTAATCTGTAGAGGAAACCAGTAAACTGTGTGATTTTAGATCTTTTTTCAGACACGAGTGGTTTATAGATTATTCTCTCTTCTCTCTGAAAATACAACAACAAAATATTATTAGATTTAAAACCCTGACTATTTAGGAAAAGGAACAGCAATGTTAAAGTGAAGGATTATTAAAATCCCTTGTGTTTGTTCACATGGAGGGTTGTGATGTTTCAGGTCAAGAGAACTGCTGCAATACAGATACATATGCTATTTAGATATGTCCCATGTAAATAATTTCTTATAGAGTTTCTTATCTGAAATCATGGATCTACTTCTGTACTACAGATATAGCCATATGACTATAGTAGTCCGGCTAGTGGGGATAAAATATCCTTGGGGATAAAATATCCTTGTGTACATGGTTTAAGAATAATTAATGAATCCGTGACCTGCGATACAATGAAAGTCGCACTTGTAAGTCACTTCAGTACTTTTGAAAGCTCCATCTTTAGTCTTCATTATGAATAACGCCAACAGGGCTGTTGTGCCCCCTCCTTTAATTATGTTGACTCCTGCACCAGTGAAGTTATACTGTTGTAACCACAGCAATATAAACTTCTAATGCAGACATGCTCCAACAGTATAAAGAGAGCTTTACATATAGCACCACTGACCCCAGGTTTACACTGAGCTTAGGCGAAGCATGATCCACATACACTGAAGAAAAATTAGCTCATCTTTTGTCCTTGAGCCCGTATCAACTGAGGCATTTTTTTCAAAGAAAATGTCAGTGCATGACTGGTGAGAAACAATCGCAATGCAAGTTCAAGAAGTTCAAGATCATAATCAACCAAGACATCATATAACGAGAGATGATGAATTCACCACAGGTAAGAGTAAGAAATAGATAAAACGTAAGCTTCAAAACTCAAAATCAATGAATTTTATTTACATGACCTTGTCTTTGACCATACCAGTACAAACAACAATGCAAATGTTGGGTTTGACAATAGGTCTCACACCTGAGTACTGAGTCACAGTTCTCAGGAAAAAGGGCTTGATCTTGGAACTTTCCCCATGCCATGTTTCAATCGTGTATATGACTACACTGGCAAGTTCAATATTCTTTGAGGCCTGGGCTTTGTTTTTAGCTTTTAGGTTTCTTTTCTGCCTGGTTTTTTACAAGTGAGAATTCCACTTTGATGTGCTTTCTGTTTATCTGTTTCTGTGCTTTGTTTATCTGCAAAGATAAACACTGAAAATCAGTAGGAAAACTTTTTTAAGAAGCAGATAACTTTCCAGTTAGACTGGACTGAATTACAGCTGAAATTATGGGAATATATTCTTTTTCTGCATTAACCACTCAGTCAACCCTTGTAAGCAGATGACATGATTAAAATGAAGTTTGAACTTTTTCTGTAGATTAACTCTCTGACTTATGACAAGAGTCTTCTAGTTTTCATTAACTTAAGTGCCATTTCCTTAGGACTCTTATTTTTACAGTTTCTAATCTACAGCTTTGTAATGACCTTGTCTCAGGAGCATATTATGCTATATTTCCCTTCCCTCAGTCCTCAAACAAGGGGCCTACAGGTTTTTTAGAAAAGGAAAAGAACTGCTTCACTTTGCCTTCCAGCTTCTGAGCACATAAAATATTGGATTTTGCTACTGAGAGTGCTTGATGGTCAACACATAGCTGCAGTTGTCTCACTGGCTTGAGCATTCAGGTGTCAGTGCTACCCGTGAAAGGTCTCCAGGTGTTTAAAACTTTCTTATTCTTGTAGCATGTTCCTACACCCTTCCTTACAGAGTATGCTGCGCATTACTTCACGCTGCTGCTAACTAAAGGTTCATTTCCAGAGTACCAACCCAGCACAAGGAAGGTACTTTGGCATCCAGGTGTCCAAGTGCAGTGCTTTATTTGAAGGAACAGAAATGGCTAGGAAACCTCTTTAGGAAACACAGAATAGAGTTTGGGCTTTGCACCTGCGTGGCACTCTTATTTTGAGCAAAACCAAGTCATTCTTCATCTGCTCACATCATAAGCTCATACAACAGCATCTGTCCTCTAGTATCTTTATATAGCCCTTGCCACAGCAGCAAGCACATTTGCTCACCAGCTTCATTCTAGTTTTTTTTCAATTTCCAACTGTGATCTTAGGACGACCTTATTACAGATAATAAATATGAGATTAATTTGAATTTTTTTAATGTGTTTTCTATCAATATACATCCTTTATACTTTTGACTATTGACAGCAAAAATAATTAAAATGTATCTGTAAACTTAAATCCTCCTAAGTCTTCTAGTGCAGCACTAGGCAACAAAACATTTATATGTAGGCTTATAAAGGACAATGCTCCCTGCTGCCAGTTTTACTGGATAGTTACTGAAGACACCTTTTTTTGCATGGCTAGAATGTACAAGTAAGAGACATAGTTTATTTTTAGCTCAATGCTCAACTTCTACCAGGTTGCTAAACTATGTCTAGGACAGGAAATCAGAGGAAGGAAAATGCACATTTAGAATCACTGAATTCAGTCTTGCAACTCCATTCTTCAGGTATCTAACTTCTTTAAAGTTAGACAGCTTTAGACATCTCATGCTTTCCTAAATATTCTTCCTGTTTAAACAAATAATGTAAATAGCTGTAATATGTTCAAAGGGTCTCTCTGGGAGTCTGGGTGACATAAAGAGCTTCTTCAAAGCTTGGGAAAAAAGACCAGATTTCAATACTGACTGACAAATTGATAAATCAAATGAGCCCTTTCTAAGAATACCTGACCCTCCAAATTTGCAAAAACCATGAGATATCTTGCAATGTTAGAATCTGCATTTTTTGGTTTGGGTTTTGTTTTAGGGAAGGGGAATTCAACTGTGGCACAAGTTTTGCATATGTTCTGTCATAAATTATAACATCACATCAGCTTTACAGAGTGATACCCTACCAGCGGTCCCCATTTCAACTCTGAACCCTGCAAAGTACAGCAATTTTTTCATTAAATCTGAAATAAAAGTGTAACTAGAAATGCTGTGTTTTAGGGATGAGAGCAGTATCTTG